TAGTTTCGAAGGGATTTTCGTGGTCCCTGATTACGAATCTGAAATCAGTTTTTAAAAATTTTCAATAGCGGACCCAAAATGACTAATTAAAAATGAAAAAAATTAAGGGAAATTATGAAACTTCTTATTTTAGACTTATTTAGCCTTCTAATTGTTAATTAAATGTTACTTTTATTGCTTTTAATTAGTATCATAAACCTTGGGGTAAAAAATTAGATTTTTACAAATTTTAAATTTAGGGGCTTATAAGGCCCAAAATTCGATTTTTTCTGATTTTAAAGGTGATTTTAGTGTGACTTAGTTCTAAGGGGTTATTGGGGTCCCTGATTAGGAGTCTGAAATCAGTTTTTAAAAATTTTTAATAACGGACCCAGAATGACTGATTAAATATGAAAAAAATGAAGGAAAATTATGAAATTTATTCTTTTAGACCTATTTAGCATTTTACTTGTTAACTTAATGTTACTTTTATTGCTTTTAATTTAGTATCATAAACCTTGGGGTTAAAAATTAGATTTTTACCAATTTTAATATTTAGGGGCTTATAAGGCCCAAAAATAGATTTTCTTTGATTTTAAAAATAATTTTAGTGTGACTTAGTTCCAAGGGGCTTTCGTGGTCCATGATTACGAATCTGAAATCAGTTTTTTAAAATTCAAAAAAGCGGACCCAAAAATACTGATTAAAAATTTAAAAAAATTAAGGGAAATTATGAAATTTCTTATTTTCAACTTATTTAGCCTTCTAATTGTTAATTCAATGTTACTTTTATTGCTTTTAATTTAGTATCATAAACCTTGTGGTAAAAATTAGATTTTTACAAATTTTAAATTTAGGTGCTTATAAGGCCAAAAATTAGATTAGAAAGTTCCCTGAAACTAAAATAACTCTTAAAACTACAGAAGATCCACTTTTGGAACCCATAAGCCCCCAAAATTTAAATTTAAAAAATAAACCAATCTTCCTTTTTGACCCCAAAGGATAGTAAATTTATAGCTGTGTAAAAGTAACATTAAGTTAACAAGTAAAATGCTAAATAGGTCTAAAATAATAAATTTCATAATTATCCTTAATTTTTTTTATTTTTAATCAGTCATTTTGGGTCTGCTATTTTGAATTTTTAAAAACTGATTTTAGATTCGTAATCAAGAAGCCCGAAAACCCATCGGAACTAAGTTACACTAAAATGAATTTAAAACTTAATTAGGGAACACGAAAACCCCTTAGAACTAATTCACACTAAAATCCCCTTTAAATCCAAAAAAATCGTTTTTTGGGCCTTATAAGCCCCTAAATTTAAAATTTGTAAAAATCTAATTTTTTACCCCAAGGTTTATGATACCAAATAAAAAGCAATAAATGTAACATTGAATTAACAATTAGAAGGGTAAATAAGTCTAAAATATGAAGTTTTATAATTTCCCTTAATTTTTTTCATTTTTAATCATTCATTTTTTGTCCGTTATTAAAAATTTTTAAAAACTGATTACAGATTCGTAATCAGCGACCCCGAAAACTCCTTGGCACTAAGTCACACTAAAATCACCTTTAAAACCACAAAATATCGAATTTTGTTGTTTAAAAATGAGTTTAAAAGAACTAAAAACAGAATTTTCAGCCTTATAAGCCCCTAAACATTAATATTAGTAAAAATCTATCAATTTTTTTTCCCTTAAAGTTTATGATACTAAATTAAAAACTATAAAAGTAACATTGAATTAACAATTAGAAGGGTAAATAAGTCTAAAATATGAAGTTTTATAATTTCCCTTAATTTTTTTCATTTTTAATCATTCATTTTTTGTCCGTTATTAAAAATTTTTAAAAACTGATTACAGATTCGTAATCAGCGACCCCGAAAACTCCTTGGCACTAAGTCACACTAAAATCACCTTTAAAACCACAAAATATCGAATTTTGTTGTTTAAAAATGAGTTTAAAAGAACTAAAAACAGAATTTTCAGCCTTATAAGCCCCTAAACATTAATATTAGTAAAAATCTATCAATTTTTTTTCCCTTAAAGTTTATGATACTAAATTAAAAACTATAAAAGTAACATTGAATTAACAATTAGAAGGCTAAATAAGTCTAAAATAAAAAGTTGTATAATTTTCCTTAATTTTATTAATTTTTATGTCATTTTTGAACCGCTGTTTTGAATTTTTAAAAATCGATGTCAGATTCATAATTTGGGACCCCGAAAACCCTTCGAAACTAAGTCACACTAAAATTATTTTTAAAACCAAAGAAAATCTAATTTTGGGCCTTATAAGCCGCTAAATATTAAAATTAGTAAAAATCTAATTTTTTACCCCAAGGTTTATGATACTAAATTAAAAGCAATAAAAGTAACATTAAGTTAACAAGTAAAATGCTAAATAGGTCTAAAAGAATAAATTTCATAATTTTCCTTCATTTTTTTCATATTTAATCAGTCATTCTGGGTCCGTTATTAAAAATTTTTAAAAACTGATTTCAGACTCCTAATCAGGGACCCCAATAACCCCTTAGAACTAAGTCACACTAAAATCACCTTTAAAATCAGAAAAAATCGAATTTTGGGCCTTATAAGCCCCTAAATTTAAAATTTGTAAAAATCTAATTTTTTACCCCAAGGTTTATGATACTAATTTAAAAGCAATAAAAGTAACATTTAATTAACAATTAGAAGGCTAAATAAGTCTAAAATAAGAAGTTTTATAATTTTCATTAATTTTTTTCAATTTTAATTAGTCATTTTGGGTCCGTTATTGAAAATTTTTAAAAACTGACTTCATATTCGTAATCAGGGACCCTGAAAACCCCTTGGAACTAAGTTACACTAAAATTACCTTTAAAACCACAAAAAATCAAATTTTGGGCCCAAATTTAACTTTGGGCCCACAAGTTACCACATGTCTGAAAAGAGGAAATCACTGGCTACAAGAATCTGAGTTTGAAAATACTTGGTTCCATTTAAAAAATTTACTTTTTTGTTTGTAGGGCCCACATAAGGCCCTGGGCCCGTTTTTTAATTATACAATTTAATAGATTTTTTTCAACCTGACAACTTTTGTATACAACATTTTTCTCAAAAACTATTTCCTTTCAAGATATTTTGGGGGTCCGGAACATAAAAATCACCCTGTATATTCTTTTAATTTCAAATGTCTATATGATTATAAGAATGAAAATTTTAAAGGTTTCAATGTATATATATATATATATTGAGCTTAAAGAAAGGTTATAAAAATCTTTCTGTTTTTTTCCCCTCCTTTCTTTTAATGCAAATCTTGCAAAATCTCAGATATAAATGATTTTCGTTTGCGACATAATTATTATATATATATATATATATATATATATATATATATATATATATATATATATATATATTTTTGACTTCTTATCGAATTATTATGAAAGAATTGAATCGATATAAATGTCTGTGAAACAAATTTTCGAAAATAATAAAATAATAATATGCATTCATATTTGAGTGAAAGTTTTCTACAATTAAATGCATCAGGGGACAAGAGAATTTTAACATTGTTGAATAAAAAACATTTAATAGACAATAATAATGAATAATTTATTTTTATAATTAGAATAAAAAAAAATTCATATATATATAAGTTCTCTTGAAAAATTGCCTTTAAATATTATAATTTTTATGAAATATTTATTGAAAAAAAAATAAGTAAAAATTGACGACAAAAAAATAATCATTTCTCTATATTGGTTCTGCCATTATGAATTTTGATAATCTGTTACTAAATTCGTAATCAGCGACATCAAAAACCCCAGAGCAACAAGTTCCAAGTAAAACCGAACAATTTTTAAATTTTCGACCGCCATATTAGATCCGCCATTTTGAATTTTAAAAAACCAATGCCAGATTCGTCATCAGCGACCCCAAAAACCCCCCAGTAACGAGTTTCAAGCGAATTAAAATGATTTTTAAATTTTCAATCGCCATATTGCTTCCGCCATTTTAAATTTTGAAAAACCGATACCAAATTCGTAATCAGCGACCCCAAAAACCCCCTAGTAATGAATTTCAATCAAATTCGGTAATGATTTTTGTTCAAGTCCGCCATATTTGATCCGCCATTTTGAATTTTGAAAAACTAACATCGTTTTCGTACTCAGCGACCCCGAAAACTTCCGAGTAACAAGTTTCAAGCGAATTCAAACGATTTTTAAATTTGCGTCCGTCATGTTGGATCCGCCATTTTGAATTTTGCAAAACTGACATCGAATTCGTTATCAACGACCCAGAAAACCCCCGTAGAACAAGTTTTAAGTAAATCAAAACGATTTTAAAATTTGTCGACCGCCATTTTATATCAGCCATTTTGATATTTGAAATTCTGACACCAAATACCGAATCAGCGACACCAAAAACCCCCCAGTAACGAGTTTCAAGTGAATTCAAATGATTTTTAAATTTTTCGATTGCCATATTGGGTCCGCCATTTTGAATTTTGAAAAACCGATGCGAAATTCGTAATCAGCGACCCCAGAAACCCCCAAGCAACGAGTTTCAAGTAAATCCGAACGATTTTTTAATTTTTCGACCGCCATATTGCTTCCGCCATTTTGAATTTTGAAAAACCGATGCCAAATTCGTAATCAGCGACCCCGAAAACCCCCCAGTAACGAGTTTCAATCAAATTTAGTACAAATTTTTGTTTAAGTGAGCCATATTGGATCCGCCATTTTAAATTTTGAAAAACTAACATCGGTTTCGTAATCAGCGACCCCGAAAACCCCCGAGTAACGAATTTCAAGCGAATTCAAACGATTTTTTAATTTGCGTCCGCCATGTTGGATCCGCCATTTTGAATTTTGAAAAACTGATGCCAATTTCGTTATCAGCGACCCCAAAAACCCCCCAGTAACGAGTTTCAAGCGAATTCAAATGATTTTTAAATTTTCGATCGCCATATTGGATCCACCATTTTGAATTTTGAAAAACATGACATTGAATTAGTAAAGAAAAAAAAACTATTTTTACCTGATATAGAGAGTTTCCTGTGACGAATGATTTTATATAGTGAGATCCAAAATTTCGTACAAAATGTAAAACACTATCCTTATCACCAATTGATATTGTATTTGTTTCATTTTGAACATCTTCATTTAACATTAATGATTCCATATTTCCCATTAATTCTTGATTTTCTCTAAATCTTGATACGCGCACCAATACAAAACAATGATCACTATATATGTACGATGAATTAATGCCAAGATGTTTGGCCATTACATTTGGTGTCCAACTACTTGTAAATGCCCTCCATGGTCTCTCAATATTTTCTATTGTAAAATCACGAAAATAGGCCTGCAACATATATATATATATATTTATACATAATACTAATTCAATTTATTAAAATAGAATTTTTAAATCAAAATTTTCTTAGAGATAATATTTTTTAAGCAATGCAAGGTCAAAAATTCGAGGTGAAGCTAAATTGAGGTTAGAAAACTCGGAACGTATTGATAATGGAACATTTTTAATTATTAACACAGATTTGTTTAATTCAATGAAACACAATCTATAAATTGAAATTTTTCCAGAGATAATATTTTAGATGTTATAGAAGCTCAAAAATTCGGGTTGTAGCTAATTTGAGGTTAGAAAATTCCGAATGTATCGTTTTTTCGAATATTTTCAATTATTGACACAGACTACTTCAATTTAATCAAAAACAATCTATAAATCAAAATTTATCCCGAAACAATAGTTTAGAAGCAATAGAAACTCAAAAATTCGAGGTGAAGCTAAATTGAGGTTAGAAAATTCCAAATGTATTGATTTCTGAACATTTTGAATTGTTAAATAATATTAGTTCAATTTAATTAAACACAATTTATAAATCCAAAATTTTCCCGAGACAATATTTTTGAAGCAATGCAAAATCAAAAACTCGAAGTGAAGCTAAATTGAGATTATGAAACTTCGAATGTATTAATTTTGAAAAATTTTTAATTATAAACACAGATTAGTTCAAATTTAAATAAATTCAATTCAAATTTCGAAAATTTTTTAACGATAATAATTTTAAAGCAATAAATTATTAAAAGTGCGAGGTGAGACAAATAATTTTATTAAAGGTTAGAAAATATATTATTTGTTTGTTTTAAAGCAAAAGCTCACCTGCTGAAGTTGTCTCACGTTATCGCAAAACTCCATATGAAAATCACCATAAAAAACTGTGGTTGATTTACTTTGTTTAGGTGGCGCTGGTAGTAAATTATGAAAAACATCAACAGTTGGTTCACGGAAAATCCACGTTTCCGTATCATTTCTCGATACAACTCTCATACTGATTGTCAAATGGCCGTATCTATTGAAAATATTTATGGCGCCACCTAACCTTGGCTTTTGTGACCTTGAAATCTCAAGTTTTGATATTAAGACTGCGATTATGAGAACGAGTCGCAAATGTTCCCACATTTTGCAACTCTGATCCTCAATCTACCCTCTCCTGAGAACGGCACCTGAAAATATATCAAAAAAAATTTTTTTTTTATTTACTTCAATCAGAAATAGATAATGTAGATATTTTTATTATAAGTCGGTAATGTGAAATACTGTCAAATTTGAGGTTAGAAAATTCCAAATGTATTGATTTCAAATTTATAATTATTGACACAGATTAGTTCAATTTAATCAAACACAATCTATAAATCAAAATTTTTCTAGAGATAATATTTTAGGAGCAATACAAGATGAAAAATTCGAGGTGTAGCTAAATTGAGGTTAGAAAACTCCGAATGTATTGATTTCTAAACATTTTTAATTATTGACACAGATTAGTTCAATTTAATCAAACATAATCTGTAGATCAAAACATTTCCCGAAACAATAGTTTAGAAGCAATACAAGCTCAAAAATTGGAGGTGAAGCAAAATTGAGGTTAGAAAACTCCGAATGTATTTATTTGGAAACATTTTTAATAATTATTAATTATTTTTAATTATAGAAATTAATTATATTATTATTATTATATTATTATTATTATACTATATAAATTAATTAATTTTAATTATTATTAACTAAGATTAGCTCAATTTAAATAAATTCAATTCAAATTTCGAAATATTTTTTACATTAATATTTTAATAGAAATAAATTGTTAAAAGTTTGAGGTGAGACAAAAAATTAAGGAAGGTTATATTTTTATTATCAGTCGGTAATATCAAATTCTGTCGAAAATTTTTTGGAAATTCAGAAAAAAAATAGTTGTGGCATTTAACTTACACTTTGAGAAAATGAATGACAGAAAAAATTTACAACAATTTGTATAAATTTCGAAAAACAGCTGGAAAACAAAAATTATAAAATGGGTCAATTATAAAAAAAAACAAATAATTATTAAAAAAAAAAATTTACTTATCAAAACTTTATGTACGCCAAAGAAAAATTAATTTTTCAACTTTTTAGGTTAGAAATCTTCAAAAATTAAAATTTCAATAGTGCCAACAATGTAAATATTATCGATATAATATGGCGCTAAATTTAAAAATTGTAAATATATATTTTATTGTGAAATAAAAAGTAAAAGTACAAAACGTTGTAAATATGATATTGATTAAATCTGGAATGTACTTTTAATTGATTATTGTATTGAATTCTTAAGGTGTATTAACACCTTATACATCAGGTTCTCGAAAGTAATGTGTGCTCTTTATAGCAGGATATACCAAGCAAATCCATTTTACTTTTCAAGGTAAAGAACAATTATATTGTTTTCCAGTGATTTTACAAAAAAAAAAAAAAAAAAAAAAAAAACAATGAGAGAATTCTAATAATTACACAATTGAATATGTACATTTATAGAAGAAAATTTGTAATTGATTTACCAAGAAGAAATAATTTCTAATATGAAGGAAGAATATAAAAAAAACATTGATCAGTTTAGTTAGAAATTTGTTGCTCAAGGTTACTGATAACGAATCTGGCGTTAAATATTCAAAATGGCGGATCTAATATGGCGGATTTTTTTTTAATTTCAGTAGATTTTCTTGAAACTTGTTGCTTAGAGGGTTTTTGGGGTCGCTGATTACTAATATGCTGTCAGTTTTCCAAAATTCAAAATGGCGGACCAAATATGGCGGTCGAAGATTCAAAAATCGTTCAGATTTGCTTGAAACTTATTACTAGGGGGTTTTTAGGAGTCGCTGATGACGAATCTGGCATCAGTTTCTCAAAATTCAAAATGGCGGATCCAACATGGTGGACGCAAATTTAAAAATTGTTTGAATTCGCTTGAAACTCGTTACTCGGGGGTTTTCGGGGTCGCTGATTACGAATTTGGCATCAGTTTTTCAAATTTCAAAATGGCGGATCCAATATGGCTCACTTAAACAAAAATTTGTACTGAATTTGATTGAAACTCGTTATTAGGGGGTTTTTGGAGTCGCTGATTACGAATTTTGTTTCGATTTTTCAAAATTTTAAATGGCGGAAGCAATATGGCGGTCGAAAAAATTAAAAAATCGTTTGAATTCTCTTGAAACTCGTTACTTGAGGGTTTTCGGGGTCGCTGATTACGAAACCAAAGTTAGTTTTTCAAAATTCAAAATGGCGGATCCACTATGGCGGCCGAAAAAATTAAAAAATCTTTCAGATTTACTTGAAACTCGTTGCTCGGGGGTTTTTGGAGTCGCTGATTATGAATTTGGCATCAGTTTTTCAAATTTCAAAATGGCGGATCCAATATGGCTCACTTAAACAAAAATTTGTACTGAATTTGATTGAAACTCGTTACTAGGGGGTTTTTAGAGTCGCTGATTACGAATTTGGCATCGGTTTTTCAAAATTCAAAATGGCGGAAGCAATATGGCGGTCGAAAAAATTAAAAAATCGTTTGAATTCGCTTGAAACTCGTTGCTCGGGGGTTTTTGGGGTCGCTGATTATGAATTTGGCATCAGTTTTTCAAATTTCAAAATGGCGGATCCAATATGGCTCGCTTAAACAAAAAATTGTACTGAATTTGTACTGAAAAAAGTAGTTTCAAGAAAGGAGCTAATTAGTGTCAATTAGGGTTAAAAAAAAAGATTTAATGTAGATACAAAGGTGGATAAAAACTAAAAAAAAATTTAATTTTTGTTTTTATTTTACGGATCAAAACTGTAAAATATTGCACCTAAATTAAAAAAAAAAAAAAAATTTATAATTTTTTTCACGATATATTATTGTACTTTGAGATTTTGAAAGATTCAATCTGGTAAACGTTAAACTATCACGACCTTTCACAAATAAGCATAAATTACATGATCGAGCGCTTGCACGTGATCCGCGTGATTTTTTCCTTTACTGTTTCTTTTTTTTTTTTTTTTTTGTTTTATGGTTTAGTAGCACGCTATACAAAATTATTATTAATAGCATCAATTATTATTAGTCTGGAGAGGACTTCATATAACATATATATAATATATGTTGTAATATTACACATTGAAAAATGCATGTAATTATCTTCAAATAGAATTTTTTTTCCTCTCTTAATATTCTATATTTGTACAGGAAATCATCTGATATATGTAGAGACTTATACACTTATACACACATGTATGAGCGGTTATTCAAATGATGAATGTCAGTAATTTAATAGAATTAGACAATAGATTGTATCATGATATGAATTTACAATGTAACTTTATATACGAGATATGTTTTGATGTAATACATTGTTTATGGTATTAAATTATTTTATTAGGATAATTATCGATAATAATAATAACAATAATAATAAAATAATAATAATAATCATAAAGAAGTGGATTTTTTATTACAGGATCGAAAAATAATTGATTTTTATTATTTAGTTTTTACGTATCTGATTGTTTTGCTCTTCTATACAATTGAACCGATTATTTTGACCTGGATAGCTTAAAATTGGTACATTTGTTTATTTTTATGTGTAAATTATAAAAAAAAATTACAACAAACTCAAATGAAATGGAATTTTAATAGAATTTTTTTTTCTTTTAAAAAAACGCAAAATTTTCAAAAATGTGATTATTTTTTGACCTAGTGAACTGAAATTTGGTACAAATATGAATTTTTGCATACTGATTACAAAAAACTTAAATTTTTCGAAAAACTAATGTTCCTACTTTTCTGTCTATTTTTTTTTACAATTTTTGACCTAGTAGGCTGAAATTTGGTACAAATATGTATTTTTGCGTTAAGATTACAATATATATATATATATATATATATATATATATACTAAACCCGATTGAAATTAATTTTAATAGAATTTTTTATCTCAAATCGCAAATTATTCGAAAAAATGATCATTTTTCCCTTCTGCATCTGGCTTTTAAAATTTTTTTAACCTAGTAAGCTGAAATTTGGAATATATTTAGTTTTTTATTTGTAAATGATGAAAAAAAAAATACTGTAAACTTAATTGAGATGGAATTTTAACAGAATTTTTATTGAATATTTGCAAAATTTTTGAAAAAGTTTTTTTTTCCCCCCCTTCTGCTTCTATCTTTTACAATTTTTGACCTAGTTAGCTGAAATTTGGTAGAAATATGTATTTTTGCATTTAGATTACATAAGAAATTTATCAAACCGAATTAAATTTTTTTTTTCTGAAATGATTCAAAATAATTGTTTATTTAGGCTAGAGAATGAAATGTCTAATTAAAAAAGTTTTATTAAATCTACTTCATTATAATAATATATTATTAAGAAATCGCTGCAACTATTGTAAAAGTGCGACTCGCATAATGACTGTTGCAGAGTTTCTCGAGCACTATTTTATTCTTTGTCCCAGTAACCTTTCGCGATCTTCCTTTTCTCGCTTTTTAAGTCTTTTGTTGTACAAACTCAGCACAGTAATTTTAGTTTAATTCCTAATATTATATACTACTGTTGACTCTTACACAATTATTATACATTGTCAGTAATTATCTTTTATGCCATTAATTATTATTTCCACTTTTTAGAAAAGTTTGCTTTTTATATAATATAATGTTAATTTTATTTATAATTAATTAAAAATTTTTTTTTTTTGAATATTTATTTGAAATCCGTTTATGTTCCAAATAAATAAATATATATAATATAATATAATATAATATAATTAATACTTTTTATTATTTAATTATTTAAAATAATAATTTTTGTTAAAAAAAATTTTTTTAATATTCTAATTTAAATAGAAGCCTAATATAAAAAAAAATAAAGAAAAATACTGTAACATCTTTTTTTTCACTAATCGGTGCGACACTCTAAAATAGATTGTAACTGTTTGGATGCAGAAAGCAGCTAAAGCTATATACATTGGTTAGGGTTAAAAAAAAACGAAGTTAATGCCCTCTCGTGGGTTCGAGGTATGTGCGGGGCTAGATTCTTCTGAAACAAGTTATCCCACATTTCAACTTCTTCCCGATAAATATCAAAACCTGATGAAGAGAGATGAAAAAAAGTGATCTTCGCCAAATCAGTTTAAAAGGAAGCAAACTTTCGTGTATGCAGAAA